ACTGGTATAATGTATATGATGTTATGTATTGTGAGTGCATACAGACTATATAGGTAAAATTGATAAAATGATGGAACTATTTATTATACAAAGCAATTAACATATCTAATTATTCCTCTCACATTGACCTGGACTATACAATACAAGGTATTATATTAGATATAAAACAATATATAATATGAATACTCTGTAGAGGTTCAACTTTGAAGACTGCACAGGTCTTAAGTGAACACTCTCTTGTTTGACCTATGCACCCAAGAGAGAGATCACTGTAGCATCCCCAAACCAATTCAGTCTGTGGAAGGTACCGATTTGCTTGTTTTGTTTTTTGAGACAGAATCTCACTAAGCTGCCCAGGCTGGGCTCAAACTTGAAATCATCCTGCCTCGGCTTCCCAAGCCACTGTAATTACAGGTGTGCTCCACATCCTGATGAACAGTTCTTTTGACCTTAATGTGCAAGTTTTGCCTGCTTTGGAACCTCACATAAGCACAAGCCATACAGTGTGAAGTTTTTGTGTCTGCCTTCTGCCTTTACTTCCTTCAGTATATGAGATGCAAAGGACCTTGGGACTTCCAAAGTCACCTAGCTCAGTAGTGTTAAGGGCCTGGTCTAAGGTCACCCATCGCTCAGGATCTTGGGATTTCTCAATTCCGGGTCCAGCCTTCTCCTCTACCTTGTGCTGGTTCTCTTTCTTTATTTCTCTTCTTCATTCAATGTCCTTATCGTTCTATTCAGAAGCCCTAGGAGTGTCCTTCTTCCCTACGGAGAAGCTATGAAATTTGCAGAAGCGACTTCTCATTCCCCCAGAGTAGTTCAGTCCCTCTCAGTGAGCTGCTGGCCTCTTTCAAGCTCATGTTCACCGCAGGTGCTCACCACGTGGCCACTTCCTGTGTTTTCCTCCTTATTTTGCTGCTGCTTTTTTCCCTTACATTCCTCAAGTCCTTGATCCCTTAAATTCCTCTGCCAACACATCACTACATGACTTTGGGAAGATCTCCACCACCTTGCTGGTCATGTAATCTTTCCCTGCTCCCTTTCTGGCTGCCTGTTCTGATATTTGGGTTTCCATCTCTTGGAGGTAATGTTTCATATAACTTTTCAAGCTCAGCATAAATTTCATTTTTTGCCTATAAATTTACTTTATTCTAACTCATATCATCCAGTTTATTGGAAAGGAAAAATTATGAATATGCCTGACAATATCATCAATCCAGGATGAAAGATTATAAACATAAATAATAAACACAAATGTGTATAGGGCTAGCATCCTTCTAAGCATTTTACACATTTTACTCTTTTAATCAACTCAATCACCTGTCTTGCAGGTGAAGAGATCAAAGTAAGAAAAAGAAACTTGCCAAGGCCAGGCAGTATCTCAGGAATTGAGTTCAGGGAGTCTGGCTCCAGGGTTTTTTAACTACTCTCAAAGATGAACATGATTCAGGTATACAATATGTGCAAAAGCCCATGTAAGGTCTTTGGGGGTGAATTTATTTGAAAATTTAAGAGTTCTAGATTGGGCAACAATATGGTAAGCATAGGAATTTAGGTGGCAATGCCACCCAAAAGAAAATGGCAGAGGGAGAAAGGAGAAAATTTAATGTTCTGAGAAACAACCCACTTCATATAAAGAATAGCAGAAATGAAACTAAGTACCCAACCTGTATTGCAAGGATAAACTGCTAATGTAAACATGATGACTTATCTAGAGAAAATGGTAATATATGGGTTAAATCAAGAACAGCTACTTACACCAAGTTGATTTTTATAGATTAAAATACACTTGAGTTTATACATTCTAAAAAATGAAAATGCTGTCACCACTTTCTATAATACATCAAATTGGATGAGTAATTGGGTAAAATAATTGATCCGGAAGAAATTAAACTATATGTAATTTCTTTGAGAATACAGATAGTATTTTATTATTTTTTCATACCATTTATGGCATTCATAATATTAATTTTCAATAACAGAATTGCTGTTTCAAATGGAATAGGCAGTGGGACTAAAAAAGGTGATGGATGACTACAACTGATTAAGACAACAATAAATAGCCAATAATTGTTAATTTTTTACTGTTATAGGCTTATTCTTAGTGCTTTGTCCTATTCAGTTATACAAAAAAAAATTGTATGAAAAGTGCGATTCCCATTTTAAATAAAGGAAATTGGGGTTTAGAGAAGGTAGGTAAAAGGTTCAATGTAGCACAATTAAGTGATAAAACTGGGATTTCAGTTATATTATTATTCAGAGAGAGAGAGAGAGAGAGAGAACATTAAGATGTCTATATGTAGGCCAAATATCCATTTAATTGCTGCTAACTAAAAGAAATTAAGGAACTCTGAAATGTTTCATTTGAGGCTTCGAGAGCACAATTCTGCTTTTCCCTGCATACACCTTCTACTGTGAGGATAAAATCTGCACAAAAGAATCGGCGGTCAATGAGCACACTTATCAAAGACCAACTAAACATGCAAATGCCAATGCTATCTATTGTTGCCCATGCTTTGCACACTATTTAGTCTCTTCTTACCATAAGACATAGTTTATTATGCAAAAACCCAGTCATTTGGAAAGAAAATAACTTGCTGACATCCCAGAGCAAGACAGCAGCAATAGGTGATGGCGCTAGAACCAGACCTCTTTGTCCTTAGGCCTGACTTGAAACTTGCTCTTCATTTCACATGAACTGGATTCCTTTCCTCATTGCATGCCTTCAACGTTTACTCATCTCTCTCCCTGCACCCCAAGTCTGTGCAAATATAAGTTGAAGAAAGACGAGTTATTTTACCCGAGTAAACTTTCCAGAAAGTTAGATGAGATTTACCACCTAATGAGGGCATCATCAATCTCATTTTATTATCACTGTGAGAGAACCGTTCTGAAACTGCAACAGCTTCTAATACAAGCTTAGGATAAAGTTAGTACAGCTTTGTTCAGTTGATTCACTGTGTGTCTCTTACCAGACGGAGCTTTGGTACCAGATACTTTCACATCCAATTCCTACTGTTTACAGCCAGCAGTATGGACAAGTTATGCTCAAATTCTCCAGGCCTTATTTTTCCCATTTGTAAAACATTATCAAATAATATCTACTAGGTAATGTAGTTTCAAATATTAAATAAGCCATACAAAGTGCTTCAAATAGTGCCATTCTTCTTGCCCGAGACAGTGTAAGCAACAGTGGTAGCTATTATCACCGTTCTATATTTCATCTAAAGCAGCACTGATTGTAAGAATCATTATTTTAACCACAAATGAAGAAAAGTCTGCTAATTTTCCCATCAGTTATAAGATACATATAATTTCAATACTGTTAGCAACATGAAAAAATTTCATCTCAGATATAAAAAAATATATATGATAGTGAGTATGTGCATATGTGTGTGTGGGGTGTTCGAAGATTTAAAGTCCAAAGTCTGTTGGATCAAGTTTTAGAGTAGAAACTTTTAAGTAAATTTCCCCAAAGAAAGTTTAAAAGAAGCTCTCTGTTCAACCACATAAGATTCTTTCACCAGTACAATGAAAATGTTCTGAGGTAGAAAACTATGTGTGCTTATCTAGTTGGTATACTTTAAACATAAGAATTGATGTTTTAATTATGTGCAGGGTTCACAGACTTTTGTGATGGACTAATACTATGCATCACATGTACAAATAAATATTTCTGATAGATCTTTAGGAAAAATAAGTATTTTTATTTATAAACAGATAAATACACTTGCAGATGTTGACCTATAAAAGAGGTGATATCCAGTGACTTTTTAAAACTTTATTGCAATGACAAAGGTCAAACCACTGGCAAAGCAAACACATGAGATTTATGTATAGAGAGAAGAACAGATTTCATTGTGTTTATGAGATTTTTATTTCTTGGTTCCTGCTTTCCATTACTACTTGGTCAACAGTCACAAAGAACTCAGGGTGGCTATGCTCAATAAACACCTTAAGTCTCGTATCCTTCCGTCCAATTTTTATTCAAAACCAGGCACAAATATTAACAAATATGAAATATACAGATAATCTAGCAAATCAGTGGAGAGGTATACTAAGATCACTGGACATATTTTATGATAACCTAATGTAAAAGCCTTATTTGGAACACTGACTTTGTTTCATGATATTAAGATGTATTTTTTTCTTGGTAGTGGAGATTGATGATATATCAGTGGTTATTGGACTGCTGTGGTCTACCATTTGCAAATAGAAACCTGATTTATTGCGAATACTGGAAGTGAGCTTAAAGGGAAAAAGAGTTTTCAGACTCTAGACCAGTCAGTAAATAAAAATAAATTGAAATACTATGTCTTTTGTGAATGCCCTGGGTTCAATCCCTACAGAGAGAGAGGGAGGGAGAGGGAGAGGGAGGGAAGAAGGGAGGGAGGAAGGAAGGGAGGGAGGGAAGGAAGGAGGAATAGCTGAAATATTTTTGCTTTCCTTTCATTTCTTTTATTATAAACTCGTTTTACTTTCAGTTGATCTTGCCCTGGGAAACAATGTAAACATGGCTGGGGCTGTGATCCTGTTGAATTCCTATAGAGCTAAGAGCTCTTTGAAGGCGAACTTACAAATGTGTATTATAACTGGGTCTAGGATGAGTTTGACTCTAAAATGGAACACTGCTCTGATATACCACTAAGAACAAAAGATACCGGCAATGAAACTGCTGTCATTAATTATGACACATTCCAATTTCAGACAAGAAAGGGGACCACTTTCCAGGCCCCCTCTGTCTCTCTTTGACAGAAGCTTTGTTTCCCTCAATGAAATTTTTCTACTCTTAACCTCTACTGCTCCTAGAATTCATTCTTCGACTTAGAGAACATGAACTTGTTACATCTCTTCCCCCATATCATTTTGGAGGCCTTCCACCTAGATTACCGTTTGGAGGTGTAGCTTTGGAATAAAGTCCTTCTGACCATCCAAGGTCAAGCCCAATTTTCCTGAACAAATATCAAGCATATGTAGATGCTCAGAGGACATGCAACAACTTCATGCATGAATCTCCAGGGCAGCTTGCTAGGAAGTACAGCTCCTGCTCAATGATATTTCTAGATGACAGCACACTCAGCAAGCCTACTCATAGGAAAATGGTACAGTGTGTGAACATAGCTGTATACTACCTCATAAAGAACAGAGAAGCAAACAGAAGCCGGGATATTTTTGGTGAGCACCTACTCATAAGAGAAAAGCTTCCAGAGGAATACTTTGAGCATGATTCTAAATACATGCGTATTTACAGATTTATTGCTAGCTTTTATAATGCTGCTCAGTTACCAGCTGAATGTGCAATAATAACCTTGGTCTTCTTAGAAAGGCTTTTGTCATATGATGAGATTGACATCTGTCCTACTAAATGCAGAAGGACTGTCCTGGGAGCCATTCTTCTTGCCGGCAAGGAATGGGATGAGGAGACTCCATGGAATATGGAGTTCTGCCGGATCTTCAAGGATGTTACCCTTGAGGACATAAACAAGGTGCCAGGCATTACCTGGCCCTGCTTAAGTTTAGTTAATGTGCCTATCACTGCTTATGCCAAATACTACTTTGACCTTTGCTCTTTAGCATATGACAGTGGCATGTGTTGTGTGACTGTGCCTCTGACCAAAGGAAGAGTACAAGACCTAGAGTCACGTCAGGATTGTGTGAAGACAAAGACTTGTGCAGAGCAACTGTGAAAAGATCGACCAGTGTTGGCAATTTTGTTGTTGTTTTTTTTGTCCAATACCATCCTGTCTTAAAGGGGAGAAATGGGACCTATGACATCATGAACCCCTTATTTACAAAAGCTGGAGAAACACCACCTCTCGTGCAAAAAACAAAACAAAACAAACAAACAAACAACAGCAAAGTTAAGAGGTTTACCAAAAGGAAAGACCTTGAATTCAACCAACACCAGGACAGTGACAGCTGCACTGCATGGGAAACAAAGAGACCTTGTCAAAGCAGCAACACACTTCCCGTCCTCCCTGATATGGGCAGAGTTGCAAGTTCTGCAAAGCAGAAGCTCCCGGCTGACATAGAGGCATTTGCTTACTTCGCAGGCCACTGCCTGTGAGCTCTGTGAGGTTTTTGAATTAAGAGTTTCAGTTTAAACTACTTTAAAGTTTTCATTAATTTTTAAAATTTAGATTAAGAAATAGTACCCATACAATTGTTCTGCCCCTATATTGCTACCTATGCCTTTAGGATTGTTGCGGTATTATCATTAAAATATGGGGATTTATTTTTTTAAATTGCATGGTACTGGGAACAAAACCCAGCATCCTGGCCATAAACTGGGCAGGATCTCTACCACTGAGCCACCCACCCAGCCCCAAACATGGGGAGTGTTTATACACATGAAGCCATTTAGGAGTAGACTGTCACACTGTCAGGTATTGAAGGTTTTTCTTTCCAGTGGTATCACTGAGTTGCTAGGCATTATTCTCAATCCATGTACACAGAAAAGCTGCTGCAAAACACTTGCCACTCATGTTCTTTGCAAGCACTGTGGCATGTTTGCGGTCATAAAGAGAAAGCCTCCGTTATGGACTATTCTTTAGGGTCCATGCTGCATCTTATGAACTCTTAATGGTCCTTCACATTTCCTGACGTTTCCCCTTGTTAAATAAATATAATGGAAGATATTTTCATAACACAAACCAACATGGTGGTCTAATGATAACAAGCAGACAGTAAAATACAAGGTGTCCCAAAAGTTCCAGTGTAGTTCTATCCCTTACCCTACTGTACTTCGGCCTCCCAGGGCATGGCAGCTAGTATAAAAGTTGCAAACTTTTACAAAACATCTTTTAAAAATTTCAGTTTTGCAAATTTGAAATATTAAGCTTTTATTCTTACTTTTTTTTTCCTAGTGTCTCTTAAAGGGAACAGAAGAAAGAGGAACTGGAACAAAAATTGCAATTAAAGGCTTAATATTCCACATTTTAAAAATTAAAACTTTCAGATTTTATTTTATAATGTAGCCTCTGTACTTCTACTGGTATCAAAGCTTAAAATTACACTGAGATTTTTGGGATGCTTTGTATTACCACAAAATTTCTCTTCTGTTTTTAAATAGTTATTGAAGGGCTGTGCCCTATATGCTTTCATCATCTAAATTTCTTTGCTCTAGATTTGGTAAAGGAAGATTATTAAGAGCAGTGTTAATTCACATGTAATAAATAAAACTGGACCATGATAGCAGCAAGTGATATGAAAGTTTCTTTCAAAGTCTACCCTACATGTTAACCTGGCTCTAGGTCCCCCATTTCAAGTGGTCCTACTTAAGAGGGAACTTTCACGAATCTCAGGAATGTCACTGAAGGCTTTAAAGGGTAGAGAATGACTTCAGGGAGATTATGACATTACCTAAATCTGAAATATTAAAACAGACTAGTGTTCTTGCCCAAGAAATCTGTTTCTCTGCTTTCTCAAATGTAATCCTAGGACTCTTGCCTGTAACAAAGCCCTTCCAGCCCAGCAATGCTTTCTTGTGGTGTAGCAGGTCTTCATACAACCCTGCATATTGCGGATTCCACTGTGTTTTTTAAACAAACACAAGAGATAAGCAGTGGCATGTGAAATATTACAATCTACCACCTCAAAACTGTTTATGGAATTTCAAACTTGGAGTTCTGAGTTTTAACTGTAATTTTATTTTGAAAACGAATGCTACCACTTAGTCATGTTTCTTCCTCTTGTTTCTAATTTTAATAGTTAATAAACTATTTTGATTAAAATAAAAAAGTGAAAATATTATGACTCTGAATTGATAAAATACGGTGGTTTCCATGATAAATTATAGCCAAGTCATCTGAGGAGCATTCAAAGCAGACCACACATTATGCTAAGGAAAAAGCAGAGCTCCTGTTAGCTGAAGAAAGCGTGTTGGAGATCCTACGTGACTGTGAATAACTGGGGCTACTCCCTGGAGCAGATCTCCATTCTGCACGGCAGAAACCCAAGCCATGGCCACTACCACCCCTTCCTCACCAGTCAATGTGAAACTCACAACAAGGAAACAGTCACAACCTTCAAGGTAGCTCTTTCAATGCTCCTCGCCAAATCTGCATAAGAGAGATGACCCAGGAAAGAATCTCAGAGTAAAGTAAATTCTAATAAAGGTACTGTGGTGGAAAGCCGAGATATTTCTTGTGAAATCTCAGAGTGAGCTGTGACCTAGAAGTTCTTTTGTTGTGAGACTGAGGAGAGGCTCACTCTTTCCAGCAAGCCGGTGCTTTACCTCTCCCTTTCCTCCCCAGCCCCATTTTAATCTACGGAACCATTGCACGACCACCATGATGTACTCCGGGGACATGGAGACGGAGGACAGGCACTAGAAACTATATCCCCACGGGTTACTGAGGTCACATGAGGATAGCAAGTCTCAAGAGTGAAGGACTAGACTGTGAACGGCAAAGGTACAAACATGGGACCGTCAAGAAGTGTTAACAGAAGACACAAATGAAGTTTCCTGGATGGGTTTCAGAGATGGAATATAAACAAGTCTGAGTCGTTTTACACACTGCAATCATGTTTTGTGTGGACTTGTCCTGATCTTCCACACAGGGAGGAAAGAAGCAATGAGCATCTTTGTCCCTGACTTGATGCTTCTTACTCCTCCCAGGGACAACTGCGGTCCTCCGCTAGGCAAGGGAATTCTTGAATTGTCTCTTCGGAGTGTTCCCAAGAAATCATTCTAAATTTCAGAGACATTATAGACTTGCTATCCATGCCTACACATTTTTATATCTAGATATTTCAATTAGGGAGTCTAGACATTTTCATATCAGGACACCTCAATTAAAGAGTTAAAAAAAACTTTAAAATGAGATCTGTTCTTATATTTATATATTCTGCCAAGTCTCTGTAAACCTATTTTAGCAACAAAATAAAAAACGTTGCTCCCAAACGGTGCAAGATTCTTTTCTATTTATTTTTCAGCCTCATTAAACGTTGTTCTCTCCTTTTAAATGGGGGAAAGGAATCAAAAGAAAATGTACAGGAATGGTGCGCCTACATGGCAACCAACACGAACAATGAATTATAATGAAATCCAACTTCCAATGTGCCAAACCACACAAAACTGTGAAATAGCTGACGCCAAACTACAAGGTAAAGAGGTTTAGGTTGTATTTCAGTTTAAACGTAGGGAATGCATGAGCCTAAGGGAAGGACAAAAGCAAGCTGTGTGCGCTTCTTTTTCAGTTCATTTTAAAGCTATTTTTAACGCTAGAGTCTATCTGTACTTTGTATTCACAGTTCCCCAATTTTTGGTAGACTTCAGGAAATTAATTAGGGGCTTGGGCCCCCCAGGATTCCCCACGTATGCTGAGCGTGTCCTTTCGCTCAGTGGGTGCCCCACAGAGCAGGGCAGCTGCAGCAGCCTGAAAGGCTTTGCTGTTGTGCGATGGGCACTGTAGTCCTGAGAGCCGGAACTGAGGGAGGGAGGGTTTCCAGGCTGCTCTGGCCTTGAATGCTGCGCGGTGGGCCCTGCTCCTGGGAGGGGTGTACTCCCTAAGCACTGGCTTCTTCCGTTTTGTATTAATAAAATGAGTGCTGTGCTCCTGTGTAGAAAATTTTAGTCCTAATATAAAATAAAGAATCCTCTTAAGATTGAAGCAACTTTTTGCTAAGTCACATGAATAAAAAGGACAAGATGTCATACAATTCCCTTTTTGGTACCAGGGATCAAACTCACAACCTTGGGCTTGCTAAATCTCCAGCCCTCCTAAGAAATATTTTTGCAGACTAAGATGTAACTGATGATTCTTGCTAAGAATCAGAGTCCTCTTGAGGCTTATTCCACATAAAAGCAATTGCCTTCAATATGGAAGATATTCCTCTAAATTCAGCTTGTAATTCACTGCATTCCAGAAAGGGCAGACACTGTCTGATACTCTTCCAAATGTAATAGTTTTTCTGTCAGAAGATTTACCATGATAAGAAATTTCCTATTACAGTTAAGATTTGTTTTTGTTTTACATTTATTGAATAATACTATACACTACATTTTTTCTTTCCTTCTTCCTTCCTCTTTCTCTCTCCCTTTCTCTCTTCTTTCTTTCTCTCTCTCTTTCGAGACAGGGTCTCACTATGTAGTTCACACTGCCCTGGAACTCACTATGTAGCCCAGGCTGGTCTCAAACTTGCAGCGATCCTCCTGCCTCAGCCTCCCAAGTGCTGGGATTATATGCTTGTGCCACCATGCCTGGCTCACCATGTACTTTCTTATACCTTTGTTTTATTAGATCTTCTCAGCCATGAGATAACCTTACTATTACAATTTGCCTGGTAGAATTAGCATTGGACTGTCTTGTCTGATTCTATAATCTAGCCTATTTTCATAGGAAACTCCTTAAAAATATACTGATTCTGACATCCTTTGTTGGTATTTTCTTTCCCCATTTCTTTTATCAAGGCACATTTCAGTGAAATTTTGCAAAGAACTCATATAGCACACACAGCTGTCTTTGTGAAATCTCAGTAGAGTCTTTTATGAAATAGTCTTGGAGCGGGAGAGAGAGAGAGAGAGAGAGAGAGAGGGAGAATCTGAGAATGAATGGATGGTCATCACAAGAAACAAACTCAGTCTGTTCAGATCCAGACATGATACCAGATATTTAGCCTGTAGATATTGCACATGGTGCAAAGGCCCTGGTTTCAATCCTTGGTACAGAAAAGGAAAGAAAAA